AACATGAAAAGGAGGAGACACATTGTCTGGCCTTTGCTCCCTAACCAAACCACCTGAGCTATATTTTTATTTATGATAAGAAGAGGCTAATACCAACGCAACAAGCCCAAATGACATTGTGCAACAATCTATTCTGTGAGTGGGATAGTTGCTTACGAGTACTACTGGAGTACTTTGTCGCGTAGTCCTCAAGGATTCCTTAAGGAGCCAATAGCTTCACATGCAGGTATACAAGTGCATACATAAATGTTACCAAATACAAAACTAGCCATATATTATCGAGGCAGTTCAAAAGGAAGATATCAGCAGAACTGCTTAAAGGAATCCTTGCGCGGAAAAATCATGATTCTATTTCAGCCATAAATCACTGGCTTGAGACTCATTATCCACGATAAGAATGAAAAGAACAGAAGTATTGCTTTTGTTTTGGTAAAAAAAAATTCGAAAAATCGAAAAGGGCTGCTACGCGTTCAAAGTGCCGGACATCTTTCACAAATGCTGGCGACGGGGATGCTTCCACTTGGTTCTTGGAGTGCCTTCACTAGAAACTCTTTTGGCCTTTTGCTTATTGCATTCACATCTCACACTTCTACTCCATCCTATTCCATCGATCGATTTGTCTCTCCGAAATCGCGCGCTTTAACCCGATTCTTTTTTCCATGCCTCGCCTTTGGCTCCGCCCGCCACTTACCTTCGATTGTCCATAGAGTGTGGTTTTTGTAAGTTTGTTTCTCTTCGGAAACTGAATCTTCATGCGTGAAACTTTGTGTGTTGTCTCTAGTGATCACAACTGACATATGCGTGTTGGAAAGAATGCAAGCTTTCTCCGGGAAGGATCTCTAACAATTCTTCTGCAGCTTGCGCTTCCGAAAGCTACTTGAACCAGCGCTTCAACTGTCATCCAAACCAAATCACCATCACAGCCTTAAGACGTGCGTCAGCGACGGGCAAACAATTGTCGGTGCCATCCGACAGGAAAAGACTCACAATAAAGAGAGGACAGATAGAGATTCACATCCGGGATAAGAGCGGTGACCTATCTTGACTTTAAATCGTAATGATCTAAGAAGGCAATGAATGAGGATACTAAATGCTACGTCTTACAGGATATCAAAGCCTGTAAAGTGACGTCCTTCCGCTCGTTCAAACAGGATCTTAGGGCTGAACCGGCGAAACTGGACAAGTAATAAGCCGTGTCCCTTTCCCTGTTAGCGTTAGCGGAGGATCTCGATTAGCCTGCTACTAGTATGACTATTTTCTCGTGGGTAAATTATTATAGAAGTAAGAAATCCCTCATTGCAGGTCATTCCATTTCGGAGGTTTTACTGGCCGATGATTCAGTTAAAAACCTCATACTTTTTGAGTTTTGTTCCCAAACTGATAAAAGTTGCGTTTTATTTTCCCATTCGTAAATTTTTTATGTACACGAGCAATAAGGCACAGCAGTTACAGAAGCGACGTAATATTGCATAGTCGGGTTCTGTTCCAATTATAGGGTTCAACCACTTGACGGAAGTCGACAATCGATATTCGATTCCGCTGATGCAAAAGTTTTTGATTAGCTGATTCACGGAAACGAAGATCAGATGGACTCTAGAACATTCAAAAATTTAAACAATACAAGCTTATACTTCCTCGTAACATGGCAAGCAGAGTAATTTCATAAAACTGCGAATTGTAGCCATTCCATACAAGAACTACTTGATCACATTTTATTTTTACATTTGATGA